AACTCCTAATATTCTGTGATTCTGTGATGGAAAGCAAAAAAAGTCAGGAGCCTAGTTAATAGCTAGAAAATTTGGATAAGACTTTGTGGTCAGATGTGGATGGCTCTAATGTCCATTTACAGGTATTCCACAGAGGATTTACCTTTCCTGCATAATGGTTAGCAAATTCTGGTCTCTAGTTTGCAGACTTTCATCAAATCCTACACAGAATTTAAAAAAATAAACCAAAAACCAAAACCATATTAACTACACACTCCCCCCAAAGATTCAAACTGAAACCATCTTAGGAAGATGAAACCGTCATATTCCAAGATGTAACTAATTAATATTTAGATTTTTGTCCAGATCCTCAGACACATCAGAAACAGAGCCTGTACAGACCTGGACCTATGTCCCAGAAGCACCTTCTGTGTGAAGTTCTTGGACTTTCCAATAAGGTCTTTCAGAGCAATAAGCAGGGTGTGAAAGCCTATGCCTGGGCTTCTGGGGCTTGTGGAAAGAAGGCACGTGTTTTTTTGTGACTTTGGGCATTGATTCAGGAAGGCCCAGATGGTTTTGTGTTGTACTTGCCCTGGGTGCTGCACCTGCCAGACATGTTTCTCAGGGTCTACAGTGGGGAGGAGAGGTCAAAGTACTGTCTCCAGCATAGGGGGACAAAGATGCAGAGAACTGAGCAGAAGGAAAGGGATATCCAAAGTTATCAGGCTTCATGGGAAGTATCTGAAAAGACAGATGTGCTTAGCTTGTGAAGTCAGCTACAAAGATGAGGTGGCTCAGGGGTCGTTTGTCTTGTACTCTTCTTCTTGCCATAAATTTAATCCTCTTCTGTGTCCCTTCTTTTGCACCTGTTTTGTTCTCTTTCCTCCTGTTGTTTGCCTCTCTCCTATGCCTTTTCTCCTTTGCCTTCTCTCTTGATACATTTACCGGCTGTTTTTGTTGAATGCTTATTTTCTCTGACTTCTCTTTTCTTTGTTTTCAGTTTACCTCTTCCCTCTGCCTTCCTTTGCTCCTGTTCCTATTAATCCTTGATTTTTTTAATTTGAAATTTGGAAGTTATTTAAGCTATGGCTTCCCCCTGTAACCCTGGAGGGTGACTGAGGATTACTTAGCAGTGCTATAAGAACAACAATTCCCTAGCAATCCTCATAATTCAATGTGCTGTTTAAAGCTCCACAGATCAAGGAGGGCTGATACAGAGAGACAGAAAATGACAGTGTTCCAGAGGAGCTGCCCTGAGGCTCAAGGAAAAAATGAAGGAGTGGGAGATGGTGGGGTGTCATCAAGAGTTTAACAATGAATCTCTGGGGCTTGGAAAGCTCCAGTATTATTCCAGCAGTGATGTTAACCCTATTAAATTACTTAAGACCCTTTGATTTTTCAAAGCTGCTGGATTCACCTATGGCCCTATCATTATTGCTAAGGAATTGGCTATTCACAGGAGGCCAAACTTCATTGCTTGTGATTGCCTAATTCCCACTAGCTTCAACACAAGCTAAGCATATGGAGGCCTGAGGGTGAGATTTGACTCAAAATTACTCATTACAATTATAAGAAGTCAAACTGACTGGAGTCTGCATCTGTTACAGCATAAGCACAGATCAGAATTTCTCTGCCCATCCAAGAAACAGAGTTTTCTGGAGCTGATGGTTTTCCTGTAGTTACCAAAACAATTAATTAATGTAATGTGTGTTAGAGCAAGAAATACCGCAGCTGCTCCATATCTAGAAATGCAAATAAATTGAAACTCACAGTAAGCAAATATTTTTAGAAGAACATCTTGATAAGACAAATAAGCACTAATCTATTTTTACACAATAGTGCAAGGAGTTGCCTGAAGGCCCGTATCTCAGCTGAAGTCAGTAGAGTCCTTCCCAACCTAGTGGCAAGTGAAGCTCCTTTTACACCTGCACGTCAGACCAAAGGCATCTCCCTCCTGCATCAGCAGCTCCTGGCCAGCCCATGTGAAGCTCCTGAGTATGATGCTAATGGCAATGGACATTTTCTCTGTCGCTCTTGTAGAGGGTATCTATTTTCTTTCCAGTGGTCAACCTATTCCTCGAGTGACCTACACAGAAGAAGAAAAGAAAACATGGGGCACCGTCTTCAGGGAGCTGAAGAGTCTCTATCCAACTCATGCTTGTTACGAACACAACCACGTGTTCCCACTGCTGGAGAAGTACTGTGGCTACCGGGAGGACAACATTCCCCAGCTTGAAGATATTTCAAAATTCTTGCAGAGTAAGTATGAAGCATATGAAAGAACCAAATCAAATGAAAGGCCTCAGCTGTCAGTGGGGTTGGTGCTTCCAGAGATGGAAAAGCAGACCTTGCTTTATCACAGGCTCTCTGTGATTCTTGGATACATCACTTAGCCTGTGTCTTAAGTCTCACTCTAAAACTTCCAGGGGTATGTTGATACAGATATTCGGATACTCTGATGGTGATACACATGGGTAGAAATCTCTCTGTTCTTTCACAGCTAAACTCTATTTAACATAAGGAGAGCAAATTAAAAAAAATAACAAATTTTTTTCACTGCGAGGAGTCCAAATAAAGATAAAATCAAGCACACTAGCTGTTTTTAAGACATAATTTTTTTGTCCCCTCAGCCTGCACTGGATTTCGCCTGCGTCCTGTTGCGGGCTTGCTCTCCTCTCGGGATTTCTTGGCTGGGCTGGCGTTCCGGGTATTTCACTCTACTCAATATATTCGCCATGCATCCAAACCCATGTACACACCAGAACCGTAAGTACTTTGGCACAGAAAGCGTGTAAAGTTGCAGCAGATTAACAGCAGGGTCAGCCCAACTCATACTAACCATGTGGGACGGTGGGGCACTCCTGGGAACAAAGCTAATGGAGAGAGGCCAAGTGACTACTCTATTCTGAAAACATTTTTGGAAGATTTCTAGTCTTTTTAACAAGCTGCATCCTCTTCTGAAAGTTCTTATGGGACTGATCAGACAGTTTTGCTACTGAAGGCATACTTGCGTGGTGGCTGTGAGGTGAGAAAGCACTGTAGAGAGGCATTTAGCTTAGCTATTAACACTCAAACAGTAGCGTGAAATCTAGTGCAGGAGTGACTCAATGTGTTGCTAGCAAACTTCTGGCAGCAGGATAGAGGAAGCCCAGATCATTAATCCTTTCCCCTTTTTTCAGTTTTATATTGTAGTTTCTCTCTGCCCCTGTCCATTATCCTTTCCCACTTGCCGTTTTCAAACCAATTTTCTTCCTTTACTTTGTATTGTTGCAGTTCTTTCTCCTCTCCCTTACTATTTCTTTGGTTCCTACTTCTTCACACAACCTTCTTTCTTCCTCCATTTTTCTATCCCTCATTATTCTGATTTTCCTCCCTGTTTCTCCTCACTCCATTCTCATTGTGCACAAACCCAGGCTGAAATAGCTTTCACTGGCCTTGCCCTCTTGAGAGCATCTTATTCTTCTTCTCTTTCTATCTCACCAAATGACTTCTATGTCTTTGAAAAATCTGGTGAATTCTTCACCAAACACACCTGTCCAGCTGCCAATTTCAACTTGTGATGGAAGTATTCCTACCTGGGTAAAGGAGAGCTTTCACCTCTCAGTGGAAGACTGTGGGGCTGAACATGGACTGAAATTGAACTCTTGAGGTGCATATTGACACCATGGTGAATTGTCTGAGTAGCCTGAGCTTCATCTAAAGAGGTTTCTTGTCCTTGAGACTGAAAAGTCCATGTTCCCTTTGGTAAGGTGATTTCTTTCTGGGCTTTCCTGACCTGGGTGGGCAGTTAAATGGACAATTTTCTTCCATAAGGAAAACCAAATAATGTATCACCATTCTTCTCAGGAATGTGTGATGATAAAAGCACTGAAAACCCTGAAGCATGTAAGCATTTCCACCACAAGAATAATTTTAGAGCAAGATATTTTCCCATGAGTCTTGAGCAATATTTGCTGGTAGGAGCAAATGCACAGCATTCCTGTCTATGTGCTGACTTTAGGGCATTCATCCAACATTGCTGGACTTTTCCTAAATTAAAGTTATTCAAATGTCATGTTTTCCTGCAGTGATATTTGCCATGAGCTGCTAGGACATGTGCCTCTTTTTGCTGATCCCAGTTTTGCTCAGTTCTCCCAGGTAAGTTGCTCAGTGGTTTTTTTTTATAACTGAACACACCAGAGACTAAGCAACTCAGAAGATCAACCAAGAGCTATGAGGGGTGGAGTGTTTATTAGCATATTAAGAGAGGCTGAGGCTGATGTATTTATTGCTTGAAGTCTTGACACAAATCACTTAGGTGAACTCATATACTCAAACTCCAAGTGTCTGTTCTGTGTGAGTTGTTTTTTTGCAGGCAAGCCCTTTGCGATGCCATCATTTTAAACCTTTTTGTAGATGTTGATCCTTCGGAGCAAAGTTAAATGGCTCATGAGTCAGATGAGTTATTGCTGTACCCTGCAGTCCAAATGTTAGGGAAAGTAGAGGGTTTTTTTGTTTTCAATTGAAGCCACAGAGGAGGCTGAGTCAAGTAGGGAACTGTCCCAGCTGCAAGCATGGGAGAAGGCTGGAGAGGAGCTTTTTCTTTGGTAGTGTTATTATCTATGGAAAATAAGCCAGACCTCAGTGAAGGAGTAACTTTTGGCTGCATCTTACCAGAAAACATGAAAAGACAGAAAGGCAGAGAAAGACCCTACTGCACCCTGGCTTATTAGGATTTGACATGTTGATAGCTGATCCCATGCTCTTGGTGTGGGTCTGTGTGGAGCTCTGATTTTGCACAGCACAAACCTCACTGGAGCAAACCAAGAAAGGTACCTGGTTATATAGAATCTTGTGTGACTGTCTTCTGAATCCAGCTGTTGCATGCCTCCTGAGAAAGGCTTCATTAGCTCCTAAGGTACAAATAAAGTCTTTCAAATTGTGCCCTGCCACTCAGAAAAAACAATTCATTCAAGGCTTGAGGAAAACACCTGCAATCAGGAGTCAAAACAGAGGGAAATACTTAAGGTGTGTGGGTGTGACTGGTTTTCTTTCTTCTGACCATATCATTCTCTTGGGTATGCATTATAGACTTGACCAAAAGCCTGTCAAAGCAAGAGGAAAAATTTATTTGACTCGATGGACTTTTGTACCACAAAAGATCATGCCTTGTAAATGTCATTTGAACAGCACCCTTTGTTCATTTCTGGAGAGGTTTCTGGTTTTAAATTGATGTTGCATGATAGGAACTTATCCTGTAAACATTTATGTGTGGTAGTAAGCGATGATAACATTGAAAATGTGAGAAATCACATAAGACAAGACAGGAAGAATGTTTGCAATAAACAGCTTGAAGAATAATGGTTTATTGTTACAGGAAATTGGACTGGCATCTCTGGGAGCTCCAGATGATTTCATCGAGAAACTCGCTACGGTAGGGCGAAGGCTCAATTTTCCAAAGCACCCTGTGTTTTCTTAGTTCTGCTGCCACTGAAGTCACTCATAGAACTCCCATAGAGTTGAATGGGAGCAGAGTGAAGCCTATGATTGGAAAATCCCACCCTGAAACAGTTGCATTAAAGGCAAATAACTTTGGGGCTCCTTGTTCAAAGTGACAGCTGTGATTAAACACAGAAGCCCAGACAAAATTTCCTCCAGCACAAACATATTGGGCAAGAAGAGATCACATGTTACTACATCTGCACAGGAAATTTCAGGAGGCAGATTCAGTAGTTTTACCTGCAAGAGTCCCTTCTCTTCCACGTTGCCAGGCAGATAATGTCCTCTGCAGTCAGTGTGTCTCACTTCTATCCTACTCTGAGACTACTAGAATTGCAAACTTCAAATAAAAACAAGGATATGCCTGTAAGATTAGTGTCTCCAGTGCCAACTTACCTGGGCAAAACATTGCACCGCCTTTGTTGTTTCTGATAGATGAAGTAGTTCTCCTGAGCCAGAGCAATTTTCCATTCAAAATGATAGACCAAGAAGTCAATCTAGGCCACACACCTTCTTCCTTCAATTTTGCACTAACGGCTAGATGCCTTCTGTGTGAAACAGGACACAAACTTTATCAACTAAGGTTCAAGCTTCAACTGGATTGGCCAGCCAAAATTAAATTTTATTGCTATAGTTTCATTGTCTCTGCTTCTGATAAATGTAAGCACAGTAAAAGACAACTGTGTCTGTCAGGACACTGAATCTGGCATTGTGCCAGTTTCAGGAAAAGAATTTCATTCTGTGGGGACATTTATTGTATTTATACAGTTGATAATTGACACATTTGAAATAGACATGTAAACTCCAAATGCATTCAAATCAATGATGTGCACCTATTCTTTTTTGATCAAGGAATCACATGTTTCTGTCTAATTTTCTTGCTAGGTTTATTGGTTTACAGTGGAGTTTGGACTTTGTAAGGAAGGCAATTCACTCAAGGCGTATGGTGCAGGGCTGCTGTCTTCATTTGGGGAGCTGCAGGTGTGTTCTATAAAACATTTCAAAGATGTTTATAATTGCTCAAATTTGTCTTCTGAATGTCTTCACATCCTTATTTTGCTTCATACTTTGTGCATAGAAGTAACATGAAGTGTCATAATTCATTGAAGAGCTCTGGTAATTGTGTCAGTGTATACATACACAGGGCACTCCTTCCCTAGCAAGTGACATTGTCATTGTATTTCACAGGAGCAACTCTTTCCTGTCTGAAACTAGGCGACATTCAGTAACTCTATCTTTCTTTCACAGCAAATTTAAGTACTTCTTAACTGAAATAAATTTCTTACCCTTTTGATCATAGTATAGTTTATCAAGCAAACCTGAGATTCAGCCTCTTGTCCTGGAGAAGACTGCTGTGCAGAAGTACCCTGTTACTGAGTTCCAGCCTGTCTACTACGTTGCTGAAAGTTTTAAAGATGCAAAAGAAAAGCTAAGGTAATCCAGCCATTCCATATAAGACCCATTTTTTTTGTCCATTGCCAGTACATTGGATTCCATTACCATAACAGGTCTTGGATTGGCAGTAATGTTTTGAGAGGCAATAAAAAAAGTTGTGCAATGCTTAAAGACACTAAGAAGTTGTTACACTCAAAATCTTGTCATGGGCAATATGGGGAACATACCTTATGCATGAAGCCAAGAATCTGTAGTTAGTCTAATTAAGAGTTTCACCTGTATAACCAAACTGCAACAAAGAAACATTGTTGGTTGAATTGCAATGATACTAATACTACTCCTTTACATCTGAAGTTATGCTTATCCTTACACTTTCTTTTGTGTCTCAAGTCAACAGTTTCAGTCCAGTGGTGGAGTGTGGAGTTGTCAAGTAATCAGCATCTTGAGGTCTTCATAGCAGGGCTATGATGTTAACGCATGGAGCTTCTTCCTCTTAGGAAGAGGCTGTAGGAGGTGGATGGTGTTGATGCTTCCTTTCTTCCCCCTCAGTCCAGGGTTTCCTCAGGGCCATTTTTGTGTTTTCTAACATGCTTTACGTCTTGCTCTTTCTACAGTGGTCTCCAAATCTCTGTTACTTCTGACTTTACAAATTATGTTAAATATTTTTATCTTTGTCCCTTTTGTTTCCTCTAAAACTGTCTTTTTTCCCTCAGTTCCTAAGTTTCCTTTACTATGAATAACTGATCAGTGAGGGGTGGTTGACAGCCTGGGGAAAACTAGCATCATCCTATTCTCGGACCTTTAAGACTTCTGTTATCAGCCCATGCTGGTACTCCTTTATGCTGCATCATTACTTTAGGGTCAGACTTAGTTCACGCTGTGCAGTGTAACTACCTGCTATTCCTGCCTATATAAGAATTATTAACAACAGGCCTTTTAGCACACAGTCATTCAGAATTAAGCAAAACTAAAACAAATTAGGTAATAGCTGTGTGGTCATTAGACAATTGCTATTACAGCTAAACAAAAATGCAAGCAAGCCTAATAAACCCAGTCCTGAGGATTGTGTGGTTAGCTTAATACAGAGCCTCCAGCTTGTTACCAGTGGTGTGTTTACAAGACTACAGGGCTGCACCGTAAATCTTTCAGTCATCTGTGACTCAAATACAGATTCAGTTCCAGTCAAACAAGACTATTAAATACTGGTCCAGGTTCAGTTCTGGTTCTTGAAACAGGAATGGCTCAGACTGTGTTTGAGGTTCAGCTTGGGTTCCACCACACAGCAATATTTCTATTTCTGTTTAAAAAACCTACCACCATATTTCTGGATGTTAGCCAAGCCACTAGGGGTTAGCCTTGGTTCACAGTCCTCAAATTTTTCACTTGGAGATGACACACAGGGACTTGTCCCAGACCTGCAGTCTCTTCTCTCTTTCTTTCCCATGCACAGATAAACACACACCAATACCCAAGATATCTGGCTGCCCTAGGCTCCCCAGCTCCAAAGTCTTCCTAGCTATCTCCCGTGCTGCTTCCTCAGTTGCCATAAGCCTGCAGCCTCTCCTTTTGTCCTTTTGTCTGGGGTAATACCTGAGAAAGATATTCTTATTCTTATTCTTATTCTTATTCTTATTCTTATTCTTATTCTTATTCTTATTCTTATTCTTATTCTTATTATCACTTTGTGCATTAATATCCTGCACACAGTTTCTGTCTTCTCTGTATACTTCTCTAACTGAGTAGTAAGTTCTTTGAGAAAACAGAAGATGCTGTTTTACTCTTTAAAAATTATCTTGGAGCTTCTTTTAATTGTTTCAGTGACCAAACTGGAAAACTGGTTAAATAGAAACAGAGGTCCAGGTGTTGGTCCAGTGCCTGTGTTCATGGCTTACACCTGGACATGTGTTTGTATGTAATGGAAAACCTCCCTGAAAAATTATTCTGAGACTGACCTGAAATATTTCAGCTTAAAGCAATCATCTTCGAGTTAGGATCTTACATTCAGCTTCTAACCTGGATCTCCCCCCTTAGAAAAACTGGACTGATGCCACTAAAAGCTTTCAAGCTAGCCCACATGTTTTTTTTGCACTGTCACAGCTAGTGGCCTGCCCACACTGAACTCTGAGACAATGGCCTTAGCTGATAATAATTAATACTAAACTGAAGGAGCAATGTGAAGGTGGCATCCAATATATTCCACTGTTCTGGGCTAATGGGATTTATCATGCTGAGTCACAGTCTGTATAGTGGGGCTCCATAATCAACCCCTGCGTGCTTTCCTTCCTCTTTCAGCAATAACTTCAGTAATCCAAAGCAGATATATAAGCCAGTATCCTGCTGGGGTCTACAAGGAGCCTGGAACAATAGCTCTGACCATCTCATCCCATTCAGAGTCCTCCTTTCCACAGTTCTGTGGTGATGCAAATTCATGTTTTCCCAAGACATCAAAATCTTAAGATTTCTGCTATGGAATTAACTATTTTGCAGAAAGGAAGGCTGCAAATCAGGGGTGGCAAGAATGCTGCTTCACTACATTGACTTTCTTCTATACTTTGCAATGACCTGGAAGCCACTGCCAATCATGCCAGAAGTTAACACCTTGCTTGCTCCTTGATATGCCAGGATGGCATAGGTACTTGGCTTTACTTTTCCAGAAACTGCAGGCTTGGACCAGGATTTCTATATTTTGCATTACTGAAAGGAAAATGAGATTTTAGTTTGGCAAATCCCAACAGCTACATAGTTGGCCTATACCAGGAGTAGTGTTGCCATGCCAATAGCATAATTAGTCCTGTTTGGAAAAAAACAAAGGTGGTAAAGACAAATGCAGATTCAAGTGTGTTACAGAATGCTGTATGTCTCAGATAATTCGGCAGGAATTTCAGCTATTTCCTCTCACAGGTTTTCTTATTACCCTCATCAAATGCACACACCAATAAAAGAGTGAGTTACTGAAAAAAAAGGAGCTTTTCAAGTTTGTATTTGTTTTTGTATTTTTGCCTCAGGAAATTTGCTCAAACGATCCCTCGTCCTTTCTCTGTTCGGTACAATCCCTACACCCAGAGGATTGAAGTCCTGGACAATGCAAAGCAGCTGAAGAACTTAGCTGACACTATCAATAGTAAGGATTTGTTACCTTGAATTCCTCAAAACTTGGATCAGAAATAGTAACCACAAAGAGGTTTTGTCTGGTTACATTTAATGTTCTGAACCTGATCAAGTTCAAGCAGCACACACCTGGTGCAAAAATGTCTTCCTAATTTTAGCCAAGTTTCAAAATAGCTTTTCACTTGACTTGACTATAGTTTGTTACATCTGAAATATTCAGTTTTGATGAAGGTGCTAGGAAAGGCCACAGGGCCTTGTGGTGGATCCTGATGTGTGGCTTTAGCTGTTCTCAGTAAAGAAGAAAAGGAAAAGCTTGACTTTAATCACATTTCCTTTTGCCATTCTAGACCTTTTTCTGATACATTTTCCCCCTAATATTGGCTAGCCTGCTAAGAGCCAGCACCCCTGATCCTGTAAGCCATCCTTGTATGACTGATGAAAACAAAGTGCTAACCTTACTCCAGTAAGACCTCAATGAATTTGTCCAATCCAGTACTTCTTTGTTCACCTTATTCTTTCAGGGAATGGATATAAAGATTAAATATATACAAGAGTGTTAGGAATGGGCTAACTGTAGGATTAACTGCTCTGTTTGTTTCCTTTGCAGGTGAGATTGGAATCCTTTGCAATGCCCTCCAGAAGATAAAATGAAGATTCACTGTAACTTGCTAATTTCTGGCTACTGACCAGAAGCTGCCATGTACAAATGCCAGTTTTGAACTAGACTCAGTTCATTACCTTTCTGTGTATTGCATGAATGCTTATGCTATATATCTTAATTACTATAGATTAGCAGAGAAAGAGACACCTGCAGGTGACCTTTGACTCTGTTTGCCTTCAGACACTAATCCATTTTTTCTCACTTAACGCAAAAAAAAATCACCTTAGTTCTGGTAATCTTAGGAAAGCCTTCATATCTCTTGTGCCAAAGGTTAGCAGAAGGAGGACATCTCCATCATGCAGAGCTATAGCCTGCTGCAGCTTTGAAGTTGCATTAGCACCCTGGGCCCAGGAACAGAATGGTAATGACTAACAGACTCATCTGTCTTGCTTTCTCTCACAATCAATGTCCCCCTCAGTTCCTCACATTTGTGCAAGATTCCCATGGAGTCCCAAACTCTACATCTTTCAGGGGGTATACATATACTGTTTAGCTCTCTGTACCTCTACTTCGACACACAAGCGCCTCTATCCTGAAATATTTTTTCCTAAAAATGTGATGTTACCATTGAGCCAAAGCACAGATGCTAGCAGAAAAGACAGCAAGTATGCATCTGCCTCACTAACAAAGATTTATCACTATGTATAAATATACTGTATTTGCACAAGCATCAATCCCGAAAAGGTTTGTGCAACTCAGGACTGCTGTATGCTGTGATGTCCCATTGGTTTTCAGAGCAGACTGCCTAAACAAGGCACTGTGATTGCTTATCCAGAGCATGGAATCTGTGCCTCAATACAGTACCCACAAGAAAAGCCCTTTTAGAAGGGAGTTATCTAAAGGCAAGTCTGTGAGGCTTTTTGCAGTTGGATATGAGGTCAGCTTGTCAATACTTCATGCAAGCAAGAAACCATGCAGATGTTTTAACAGGGCATCAGGACCTTATAAGTTCAGTCTCAGATCTATGCTGGCTGTAATGTTGTGTAACACCATGGATTCAGAACTGATTCAAGACCAGCCAGCTTACAGAAAGAGGACACCTCTCTTAATAGACATAATCAGCTACTCACAGTAGAAGGCTGATGTGTGAAGTACTCACAATCACCAAAACCTTGGAAATGGAGAAGTGGTTCTTACTATGCAGCTGAAGACAAAGAGTCTTTCAACTCCTGTATCCTGTATCTTCACTGTATCTGTGGCTAAAGTCCCCACCAAAGTTATGGAAGATCTGGGTTAGCTGTGTCTGAATGCATTAAAACCCAAACATGATATTGTTCAAGACAGATCTTAAGTCATTATACTTTTTGGAGTCTTCCTCCTTCTCTCACTTGAGCTTTAATCTCCTTCTTTTGGTTAAAGCAGTTTTATTCTTCCTGGAGTACAGCTCAACAGAGGCAGCAAATTGAAGCAAGGGCTGAGCTGTTCAGAAAGCTATTTCTGTATTTTAGCCAATAACTTTCACTTAAAGCAGCTAAATGCCCTACTGGACTGGTCCACATGATATAATGCCTCCCTGTAGCTCCCTAGTTGAAGGAAGAAGGAGATAGCACTTGTACATTGGAACAGAATGGAGCAAAGCAGAGTAGAATACTATTTCCAGCTTGAAACAATTCTGCATCATGATATTAAACATGATTCAGGACTCACATTTCTGTTAGAAGATTCAAAGATGAAGAGGGATTTGAAAGTCCATAAGTCTCATACCTACTATTGTACTACTCTTGTATTTAAAGTTTGAAAATAAATGGAGCTTTAATGTAAGCATCATCCTTTAGGAAGATAGAAAGTACAGCTGTTTCCATTATATTTATACTGGGTAATAACATTAATCTAAGCATACCAGCTGGAACCCTTTTCAATAGACATATACTTATGCAAAATGATATCATTTTGGTGCTTTGAAGTAAGCTTTTTATCTCTGTATCTTTTTTCTTCTTTTTTTTTTTTTTCCCCTCATGACAATGTCTGTGTAGAGCTTTCAGTCTGGCTTGGCATGTGTTTTTCAGTGTGAAAGTAGCCCATATTTTTCTTTCTTAGTATACTAGGATCTATAAGGTAACTGTGTACCATGAAGAGACAATTTCACCTTGATCAAGGTCAGTGATTGTGATGGAAAGAAGAGTGATAAGCACAGGTTACACAGGGAAGTGGTCTCCTCTGGGTGTTTTAAGATGCCAAGATATGACAGCAGCCTTGGAGTAGGGATGCTTTATTCCTCAAAGGATGCAGAAATTGTTGAAAGAGGG